CGGAGGGGGGGGACACACACGACACATGCCCCCTGACTAAGGCATGGCTGCTTCCCTCTTCTGGGACTCTGTCTCCTTTCCTTCCTCTCTGTTCCTTCCTGCCTCGCTTTCCCTTTTCTGTCCCTTCCTTTGTCTTCCTGTTTGCCTCTGTGCTGCCTTTTTCTGCTTTTTTAAATTTTCTTTTTTTGCACAGCCGTTAGGAAGGATTTGGGGCCTTCTTGAAAGCTGTACCCCCCAGGGATATTGCAATGCCATCCGTGTTCACAATCCTTGGCATAGCAGCTTTTGCCTTGGGTACGCAAGGCCAGGGATGCATTGGTGCTCTGCTACCAAGTGCCCTTGTTTCCTGCATTTGGGGCAAAGGTTGGGGATGTTCTGAGCAGAGGACAAGCCCACAATGTGGTCCCAGGGTGATTGCAGTTCTCCTGGGACCCAAGCAAGCTTCTCAGGCAGGCTCTCTGGTCCATGCCCCAAATTTATCCCACACCTTTTCCACGGTCATATTTCCACAACCAGAATTTTACATCTGCCTCTTACCAGGCCAGACAACATGTCCACAGTCATGATGCTTTCTCATTTGTTGTAGGCCTGGAACCTGCCCCCAGCCTACACACCCACACGTTCCTTTCAACATCTGAACACTCATACTCCTCTGAGCCAGTTAGTCTCTAAGGTATCAGCTTGACACAAATCCTGAAGCAGTAGGACTGGAAGGGTCCTCCATAGGTCATCTATTCTTGCTCCACTTAACACAGTGAATCATCTGTTCAGAACCTCCTGTTAGTTGGCATGGATCCAGTAAAAGAAGGGTTCAGGGGGTTGTACAGAGATGAGCCCAGCTCCCTGGGCTGCCCCAAGATACCACCTCCCATGGCGGAGAGAGCACTTAGTGGATGGGAACTGAAGAGCACTAAGAGCAATCCCATCTGGGGATACTGTCTCCATGACCTCCGCCTTCCCAGAATGCTGGACTTGCATTCCTGACCCTTTAAAAAGAGGCTTTGATTGGTGGGGGGAAAATACTGAGCAAACAACACCCCCCCCCCCCCCTGACACTGAAGAAGCACAGTGCAGCAATGGTCCGCCATGCTTCTCATTGCCCCCACCCCTCTTATCCACCCAGTGTCTACAGAGATTTGGTTTTCCCTAACAGATCTGTCTCCTCCATTGACTTCAGCATCCTCCAGCTTCCTGGAGGGATAATGGGAGAAGGCAGCAAGCTGCGGGGGAAGCTAGACAGGTATGAAAATAAACAGGAGGCTGGGAAAAGGAATCATAGACTCATAGGGAAGTGGAGCTGGAAGGGACCTCCAGAGGTCACAGGGAGAGGTCTAGTCCAACTCCCTGCCTGAGGTAGGATCAGCCCTGTCCAAACCATCCCATACAAATCCATCAACCTCTTGATAAAGCTACCGTCAACCCTGACACTACACCAGACATCACACCTGACCCTGCCACAGGGAAAGCAGTGGGGGCACAGCTTGTTAATAGATGCTTTAGACATCCCAGGGAGAGGCCCTGCCCTACTACAAAGGAAAGCAAGAACTTTCCCCAATCTGTACCAGACTGAGCAAGGGGAAAACTCCTCCTTGACCCCAATGCAGTATCAGTCTGAGCCTGAGCAGGACCCTCTAGCTAGGAACCTCTGGGTCTGAGCCCTAGCAGGAGCACTGGCATAGACGGGTTGCCATCCCCAGCCTGGACTGCAGCCAACACCTAGTGCTTTTGAGGAAGGCTTAAAACCCCCTGACACATGTAGCAGCAAGGGGGGTGGGGAGGCGGAGGTGTGTTAATTCCCTCCCAGCCCCCTGCCAACAAGCAGGGAAGCCTTGGGAAATCCCCAAAGCAGAACACAGGCATAGATCATCCCCAACCAGTGGCTGTCCAACCTCTCCTCACATATCTCCAGTGACAGACAGTGCACACCTTCCATGGGACCTCTTTCCTTGTCAACTTCTGCTCTGCTGATAAAGTCCTCCTAAAACAAAGGTGTCCTGATCCTGAGACTACTAGAAGCATTGCAGGAGAGTGGGGGAGGGGGGGGCATTGGATTAAAGCAATGGGCTTGACATGCTGTGTCTCCAAGGCTGGGTCTGCCTCCTCCAAGCAGACCTGATGTTGCCCCAGGGAGGGGGGCATTAACCTCTTTGATTGCTCAATCCAGGCCTCTCCCCATGGCACCCGACCCAGGCAAGGCCCTATCACCAGCTGCCTGTGATCATTATTAGTCACTCCCTGGCCCTCAACCCCCACTGCCCTCCCAGTCCCCCCAGCCCTTCCCAGCTCCACCCACCCATGGTGACACAATCTTTGCCCAGGACAAAGTCCTTGGCAATACACACGCAAGGTACCCGGCCTCACCCTGCCCCAGCCAGCATTGTTGGGACCCAAGCAGGCATAGATGGTGCTTCCTGGGCTCTGAGGATGGCTTGTTAAGGCGAGGTGCTAATTAATAAGCTTTCTAGAGGTCTCCATGCTCAGTAGGTGACCTCTTCTAGTCCCCTGAGGGGATGAGCCTGGGAGCTCATGGCTTGGGGCTCAGCCCCGTTTCTGTCCCCAAAGGGTGTCTGGATCCTGAGATCCTACCCCTATCAGTTACTCTTTCCAAGAGGAATTCTCTGGGCTGGATCCTGCCCCACATCCCCGGAGCCCCCGTCAGACCCATGGGCCTGGCCTGGGCTGTGGGGTTGCCAGCACCCCCATTCACTTGAAGATCCAAGGTGGTGGGGGCCTGTTGTGTGTCTAGCTCTCTGCCAGCTGTCTTGGGCCAAGTCTGTGGCAGGGGGCAGGGATAGATCAGGCCTGCTCCCTGCCTCACAGGGATTGGATTAGGAGCTGGGGGGGACCCATTCACGGCCCCCTCACCAGCCCCATGGCACCTTCCTTTAGTGTCCTGCTGCTACCCCACTTGCTGGGCCTGAGAGAGGTGACTGAGGCCACATAGGAGGGAGCTGTGGGATTGGTGCTCAGTGAATGTCCCTCCTCTGGGTGCCAGGAAGAGGCTAGCTGTGCTCTATGCCCCCCGCCATCCGAACCCTACAGCTGCATGATGCAACCAAGCCATGATCTTGCCTATTGCTGGTGCCCGACTGGCTCTGGCCAGCACAGCAGGTCGGTGCACCCCCACACCCATGCCCCAGGGCTCAGGAGGTCAGTATGGCCTGGCAGTTCTCTGCCACCAGGCTGATGCAAGATCTAGAGCCTCTTTGCTTAGCCCAGGTGTGGGAGTGTCTCCAGTCTCTCTGTGTTACTGGAACCCAGGTATGTGCAGCGAGATCAGGACACATTAACTGTCCCAGCCCCTGGCCATGCCCCACTCTACAGCAGAGACTTGGGGTGGGGGGAGCTAAGAGGAAGTAGACCCCACAGTTTTCCACCCCCCCACACACACTTCATGCCACCCAGTCAGCCCTGATTCCCACACCAATGCTATTTTTGCCTTTCCTGCTTCAATTTCTCCTTTGCCACTGCTCTTCCTCCCACAAATTGCCCCCCAGTGAACCCCGGCAGTGTTTTGCATCATGGGAAACCATCTACATGGCCCTGTTGTTCTCCCTCCACACCTTTCTCAGGAGGTATCACCCATGCCAGTAAATCCACCAGCTCCAGCTTTTCCAGAGGGGTTAAGGGGCGAGGATATAACCCCTCCTCCCTGCACCATGATTAAGGAAGCCTCCAGTGGGGACAAATCCTTCTGCTTTGTCTGCCTCACGTGTGAGCAAGGGGTCAGTTGTGGGAAGATGTGTAGGGTATTGGGGGGAGGGGGGAAGATGCCAGGCTAATTCCCAGCTCTAGGCTCCCTTCTCCCCCCACCCAAACCCCAGGCGATGGGCGTCAGGGCTGGGCCAGGCTTCCTGGAAGTTGCGATCACTCTGATGGTGGCTGCTTCTAATTGCAGGATTCATGTGTGCAGCCTAAACAAAAGCCGTGCTGACTTGACCCAGCTGCAACCTCACCCACCTCCCAGGTGAGCTAAGCACCAAGGGGTAGCTCCCCCACACATCTGGCTGGAGCGGGGGAGACAGAAAGGCAGAGAGGGGAGCAGGTGCAGACGTTGTGGGGCCTAGCATTCCCAGCAGGGGAGCCACCTTCCCTGTTTCTCCCACTCTCACCCCACTCCAAGTGCCATGGGGCCATGAGGATCAACTCACCTCCGGTTTATACACTCTGAGGCTGGCACCTGACAGGCACAGAGGCCCGGCCTGGGAGGGGTAGGGGACCAAACTCCAACTTAACTTTCCGCCCAAATCCAGATTCCCAGCAGCTTTCCCCCCTGCTAGAACGAGGCTTCTGATCACCCCCCTTCCCCCACCCCAGCATCGATCACTCGGTGCCTGATGCCTCTCATCTCTTCTAGGGGAATCAAGGCATGATCCTCATTGTCCGCACTGCCTGCCAAGCTGTCAGGGACTTGTCCCCTAGGGGCTGGGATACACCCGCTACACCAAATGCAGGCTGGCCAAGCTGCTGACTGGCTGCTGTAGGGGGGGGCAAGTGGGATCACATGGGTAGAGGAACAGGTGCAAGAGGCACCGCCAGCCTGAACTTCCCTCTCTGGGAATCACCCCCACTCCCGATCCGCTCACTGTAGACAGCGGGGAGGCCACACGGGGCTATTCTGAATTCTGCCCTGGTATAAATAGCCCTGGCCTGGAGGCAGGGGGATCCAGGCAGGGGCTGGGCTTGGAAGCTGCTGGGCTGGGGCCAGCTACCAGCTCTTCTCCCCCTCTACCTCATGCTGTACACTGAAACTGGCTGAAGGGAAGCCCCCCTGCCCAGGAGCCTTGTTTGGGCTCCTGTTGGGGTCTGATTCTGCCTGGGGGAAGCAAAGACTGGCTGTGGGCAGACTCCAGGCTTGGGTGGGGGTTACTGCCTGAGGGGATGGGGGGTACCTGGCAGTGGGGGAGCAAGTGAAGTTGGGTGTGGGAGGCCACACCCTGTAAGTGGGTTAATCCAAGGGCTGTCTAGTGCCAACTCCAGAAGGGGGAAACTGAAGCTAAACACTGTTTATTGTGACCCCCCAGCTGGGGACAAGGAGGAAGTGGGTACAGCAAGGATGCAGGTGTCCTGGCTGGCTTGGCATCAGCTGGGGGTGGGGGAGGAGGGAGGGCTCCCAGACTGCCTCCCAGCCTGAGGCCTGCCATTGTTGCTCTACCCTGACACTGGTCACAGCTGCAGGGCTGAGGCTGGCAGGGAAGGGGAAGGGGCTGGGGTGGCACTGGGTGCCCCCTCCCCACCAGGCACTCAGGGCTTCACAGGGTAGAGCAGGCGGGTGTGCTGGCGGGCGCAAGTGGTACCATCCACCAGCACGAGGGGGTGCTGCATGTAGTGCCAGACCATACTGGGCACACTGGGAAAGAGCTGTGTGCATGTGGAAGGGGGAGGGTGGTCAGGGGGGCCAGGCTGGGACCCCAAGCCCCTGGCACTGGGGGGTGCTCAGCATGGCCAGCCCCCACCCCCCTAGGATATCCCAGCCCTCACCCCTTGGCACTGGGCACATCCCAGCTGGGCACCCACCTCTGGGCAGGCGTTGGTGCGACCCAAGGCAAAGGGCCGGGGCCCTGGAATCAAGCGCACAGGGATGTTGTAGACACGGGCACCCAGGAGTACAGCCAAGGTGTAGGGCTGGGGACCGCCACGCCCAGAGCGCCGCACAAGGTAGGCACCATCCTGGGGGCAGGAGCAGGGGTCACCACCACCAGGGGGGCTGCTCCCCATTGGGTTTAGGGGAAACCAAAGCAGGCAGGCAAGCAGGGGACTAAAGGCAGTGGGGAGGCAGCAGCTGAGTGGGAGAGAACCCAGAAGTCTTGGACTCTGCCCTCCCGCTTGCTCTAACCACTATGGCCCTCTTAGAGCTAGGGAGGGAACCCAGGCATCCCAGCCCCCCACCCCACCCTGGAGCTAGGGAGAGATCCCAGGTGTCCTGATCCCCTAGTCTGTGTTCTAACCACTAACCTGACCTGGAGCTAGGTAGTGAACCCAGGCACCTGGGCCTCACAGACTGCTCTGACTCTAAGCACCACACCCCATCCTCTTCCCAGAGCAGGGAGAGAACTCAGGCGTCCTGGCTCCCCAGTCCCCGGTCAACTCAATCCCGCTGGATCCCAGCCCCCCTCCAAGCAGGGGAGAGAACCCAGGTGTCCAGGGTGGGAGGGGTACCTTATTGGCATAGAGCAGGGCAGTCTCAGCTGTTTGCCGGTCACAGCTTCCTGCATACCAGGGCTGGGCACAGAGCTCAGGGTCCTGTGGGCATGGGAGGGGAGGGTCAAGACAACCCTGCCCCTTCCCCCCCCCAACTCCCCCCAGCCAATCTCTGCATGCCCAGAAATACTCCCTCTGCCTGGCACTTACCCCTGTGGGGAGGATCAGGTACCTGAGAGGCCCCCATTGCCTTAGGGTGGGGTACTTACCTCCATGGGGGACCCACTCCCCTCAAGGCAGCAGGGGGCTGGAAGAGACAGGACACAAGGTTATGGGGGGGGCTGCAGGTTGGGAATGAGGGGCACTGGCAGGGCTGAGGAACATGGGGGGCACTCACCTGGGGGAGGCTGGAACTGCACGTAGGTTGCATCCTCAAGAGGCCCCTCCTGGAAAGAGACCCTGATTATCAGTGGGCAGGGTGGTCCCAGCTGCCACATGCCATCCACACCCCTCAGCTGGGTGCTCCCTGCCCAGACCTGGGGGTGGGGGTGGCCATCTCCAAACCTGGATGCTTGGGTTTTCTCCCCAAGGCTCCCAGGTTCTCCCCCAGTTCTTGGTGCCATGTGCCTTGGTGCCATGTGCCTCAGTTTCCCAATGGATAGAACAGAGCCAGCCCTGCCCAGGTACTGGGGGGAGGCATCCCTGCACACATGGGCAGCATGGAGACTCTGACCCACAGGGGAGAGGGGGATGTTACCTTGCGCTTCAAGGGGTCTGGGTTGGCACCTGCCGGCAAAGATGGCATGAATGGAACTCATCCTCTCAATAATTCCCACCACTCAAGAAGCCCCACCAACCCCCTGCTCTCCCCTGTGACTGCCCACCTACATCTGAGCATGGCCAGGCCCAGGGTGGGCAGGGAGCTGCGGCGGGTAGAGGAGGGCATGGCCCCCCACCCCTCAACTTCCTCCTCCTCTTCCTCGGCGGTGGGTGCCAGGCTCACCGCCGACAGGAGCTGCAGACACAGCAGGTGCCTGTCAAACACCCATCCACAGCCCCCACTGACATAGGGGGGCCAGAGGTGGGCAAGGGAGAGGGCATGGACTCACCCTGGCTGGGGGCAGGCAGGGGGCAGGCTCCGAACTGCGCCGTGCCCAGGTATGGTCTGTGGACAGCAAAGGGGTTGGGGAGTGCCCCCAGCTCCCCAGGTCTGCCCTCCCAAGCCCACCCACTACCTGCCCCCATGCCCCCTGCCTCTGTCACCTCCTGCATCCGTGGCCCCTAGTGCCCCCTTCCCCCCGGCCCCATGCTCCATAGTGCCTCCTGCCTCCATGTCCCCCTTGTGCCTCCTGACCCCCTCACTCCCTGTCTCCATGCCGCCTAGTGCCCCACATCACCCCCTTACCCAGGTAGGTTCCCTCAGGCAGCAGCTGAGCCTGGGCAGGTGCCACCCAGCGGAGCAGCCCTTCACAGGGGGGCACCTCATACATGTCTTCCTCATCAGGGGCCGGTGGCTCTTCACCACGCTGTTGGTGAGAGGAGAACATGCTGCCGGGAACTGTCCAGGGGAGGGGCAGGGCCTCAGGACCAAGGGGAGGGGCCAGTGTGAATGGGCAAAGCCTTAGGGTTTGAAGGGACATGGCTAGGGAGAATGTGTGGGGCATCAGGTGGTCAAGGGGCAGGGCTAGGGGAATGGGTGGGGCTTTGGGGTGCCTATGGGGTGGGGCCAAAGGGGGTGGGCAGTGTCTCAGAGGGCTCTAGGGAGGACCAAGGGGGTGGGGCGTGAAGTGGGAGGGGTCCTCACCTTTGGGCTGGGGGTAGGCAGGACAAAGTGGCCCAGGGGCGGGCTAAGAGTGGGTGGGGCATTTGTGGGGTACCAGGGTAGGGCCAGGTGGGCAGAGGGTGGGGCAGTACTTACCAGGTGCTCCCAGGTGTCTGTAACACAGGCAGGCGCCCAGGTGAGGCTGTGCCCCTTTCCCACCCCAGGGCATGCTGGGAATCTGGCTGCCCCGGGTCATGTTGGGATGGGGGCACCCAGAACCCAGCCCCCTCCCCCCAAGCCGCTGGCACCTACCTGGTCGCTTGGGCGGTGGTGGTGGGGGCCGAGACCTGTGGGCAGGGCACACAGCAGCGCCCTGTGAGCACCTGTCCCCCCTGGGCACTACCCCCACCCCTTTGCCTGCCCCCTGCCACCCATGAGAAGGCATCCGGGTGGTTACTTACAGGCTCCGGGGCACACCAGGCAGGCTCTGCAAGGAAACACAGGCTATCACAGGCTCCCCAGAGGGCTCCAGCCCCCTCAAAGGAGGCAGGCACCCCCAGCGCCCCAGTGTAAGGGCAGGAGTGAGGGGCCCCTGGCACCCCTCAGCCTGGCACTCACCATCGCAGCACTGCTGTGCCAGCAATGCCCGCTCCAGTCTGGCACCACCTAGCTTTGTGCTGGGATTTGCATGGGCAGCAGGAAGGGGTGGGGGGCACCTCCCTGCCCCCCTGCTGCCACCCCCAGGTGCAGGGGTCATGTAACATCTATGCAAATGACCTGCTTTGCATCTCCATTCAACCACGCCCCCTTGCCCAGGCCCTGTCCTAGCTAGGGCTGACCACGCCCCTCCAGGCCTGGCCATACCTCCTAGTCCCACCCCCAGCGCCTGGGCCTGAGCTGCCTGCACTTCCTACCATACAGTGACCCTCCAGCCCAGTGCCCGCCTCCTACCCACAATCCCTTGCAAGCCTCTCCCCTGATATCACTCTTTACTACCCACAACCTCCTGCAGGCTTCTTCCCCCCCCCCCCCCCCAGCTACCCACAGTCTCCTGAGGGCCTCTCCCCAGGGTCTGTATTGCCTCCACACTACCCACAATCCTTTGCAGGCCTTGCCCCAACTCCCCCCATTACCCACAATCCCCTGAGGGCCTCTTCCCAGCCCCAGCCATGGCTCTGGTGCCCCCCAAGCGGCGGCGGAAGCAGGTGCCCGTGGGGGCCGAGGGCCAGGCTGAGGTGGCGGGGGCCCCAGGGGGGCTGGTGCTGTGCCTGGTGCAGCGGCGCATGGGGGCCTCACGTTGTGCCTTCCTCACTCGCCTGGCCCGGGCTCGGGGGTTCCGTGTGGATGGGCCCCGCAGGTGAGAGCTCCCCTGGGAATCTGCTGCAGGGGACTGCCAGGGGCTGTGGGTCAGGAGTGAGGGGCACCAGCAGGGCTGGGGGTTGGTGGCGGGGTGGGGGAAGGTCCCTGATACTAACCCCCCAGGTACTGTCCCCCAGTGCAGCATTGACCCACGTGGTGGCTGAGCAGCTGACGGGGGATGAGGCAGCTGCGTGGCTGGCACGGGAGCGTGGAGGGGTTGGGGGTCCCGGCCCCCAACCAGCCATGTTGGACCTGAGCTGGCTGACCGAAAGCATCAGCGCTGGGCAGCCTGTGCCCGTCGAGCCACGGCATCGCCTCCAGGTGAGCAGGGGTTATTGAAGGCTTTGGGGGGCTGGGGATCCCCCCGTACCAGGCACTGACTCTCACCTTCTCGTCCCCCAGGTAACAGTGACTGTGGAGCCCAGCCTGCAGGTGGCGCCCTATGCCTGCCAGCGCCGCACCCCCCTGGACCACCCCCACCCTGCCCTCGTGGTATGGACACAAGGGTCACCTGGATGCTGGGTTCTCCCCAGGTCCCATGGGTAGCAAGCAGGTGGGAGTGGGTGTCAGCTACTGGGGGGAGAGGGGGGCATGCAGTGCTCCTCACTGCCCCCTGGTGGCTGCTCCTGGTACCATGGTGACTCCCCTGCAGATGGCACTGGAGACTCTGGCAGAAGCTGCCCTGTTTGAGGGTGAAGAGGCACGAGGCCTGGCATTCACCCGCGCTGCCTCTGTACTGCGCTGCCTGCCTCGAGCCCTGCGGGGTACGCATGAGCTTAGCGGCCTGCCCGGCATCGGGGGGCACTCCCACCGTGTCCTTCAGGTACCTTTCCAGCCCTGATGGTGCCCCTCACTCTCAGCCTGTAGCTCCTTGCCCCCCACCAGCCTGGCCAGTATTCCCACTCCTGACTCAGCCCTTCACTCCCAACCTGAAGCCCTCTGCCCCCACCCCTCAGCTGTGCTGTTGCCCCTCACTTCTGACCCACAGCTTCCTGCCCCCTGTAGCCTGGCTGCTGCCCCTAACTCCTGACCCACAGCCCCCTGCCCTCCCAGCCCAGTCGGTGCCCTTCACTCCCTGCTAGCTCCTGAGCCCCCAGAAGTCCCCCGTCCCAACCAGGCCAGGGCTTGGGGTTGCAGTTGAACATTTGGCCACCGGAGGGCAGCAGGCACAGCCAACTTCCACCAACCCTGACCGTGCCCCTCACTCCCAACCCACAGCCCCCTGCCCCCCCCAGCCCTAGGTTCCCCTCAGTCCAGATGTGCAGCACTTGCCCCACTAAAACTGAGCTTGGGGCTGTCTCCCGGGCAGGAGGTGCTGGAGGATGGGGTCTGTGCAGAGGTGGAGGCAGTGAAACAGTCAGAGCGATACCAGACCATGAAGGTACCGGGGTCAGCAGGAGATGGAGTTGGTCGGGGGGTTGTGGGCCTGGAATGAGGGGCACCGGCAGGGCTTGGGGAGGGGGGCAAGGGCAGAAGCAGGGGGCTGCAGGGTGGGAGCGAGGGGCAGTGGGGCTGGCCAGAACAATGCCTACTGCTGCCCTCTCCTGGCTCTTTGTGGATCTGTGTCTGCCCCATTGTGGCTCCTCTGAGGAGCAGTAGCTGGTTTCTTACTGTGTCTCGCTGCCTTCCCTTCCTTCCTAGCTGTTCACCCAGATCTTTGGGGTTGGGGTCCGGACAGCTGACCGCTGGTACCGGGAGGGGCTGCGGTCACTGGGGGATCTGCAGTCGCACGGGACCCGGCTGACCAGGGAGCAGCAGGCAGGTGAGAGGGGGGGCAAGCAGGGGGCTGCAGGTCAGAGGGCACCAGCAGAGCTGAGGGGGAGTGGGCAGGGGCTATGGGTCGGGAGTGAGGGGCACAGCCAGGTGTGGTCTCAGCAGTATCCCCCACAGGGGTGGAATGCTTTGAGGACCTGGCTGTACCTGTGGGCCGGGCTGAGGCCGAGGGCCTGGCGTGCCTGGTGCTGGATGCTGCTGCCCGCCTGCTGCCCAACGCCTCTGTCACACTGGCTGGGGGCTTCCGAAGGTAACTGTTCCCCTCTCCTGGGGCCTGGCCCTGCCCCTAAGCAGCAGCAGGCCAGGCCAGGCCCCCATCCTTTGACCCTTCCCCTCTGCTGCAGAGGCAAACCCCATGGCCATGACGTGGACCTGCTGCTGTCGCACCCTGAGGAGGGCCGTGAGGTGGGACTGCTGGGCCCTCTTGTTGCCTGGTTGGAGGAGCAGGTGAGTGGGGCCTCAGGGGGCAGGGACAGCTGACTGGCTAGGCTGCAGGGAAGGGGCAGGACTTGCGAGGACTTCATGTTGTGGAGTGGGGTCTAGTTACAGGGCAGAGGGAGCCCAGACAGCTGGGTTCCCTGCCCACCCCATCTCTCTCCCCACCCCCAGGGTCTCCTGCTGTACCAGCACAGCCAGCACAGCAGCTACACCACCACAGCGGAGCCCTCTTCCAGCTGTGGGCCCCTGGACCGCTTTGAGCGCTGCTTCACCATCCTGCGCCTGGTGCTGCCCGCAACAGGCACCGGGGTGCGGGCCTGGCGGGCTGTGCGCCTGGACCTGGTTGTCGTTCCCCACAGCCAGCTGCCCTTTGCCCTGCTCGGTTGGACTGGCTCCCGTGTAAGTGCCCCAGGGGGTGGATGGGGGTTCTAATTCAGCCCTTGGGGTTCCAGGTCGCTGTGGTACATGCTGGGTTCAGTGCAGCCCAGCTCAGATTGCTCCAGCCTCCTGGAGGGTTGCCTGTCCTGGATTCTAGGTCATTTGTCCCAGATGATCCTGGGATACCTTGCAGTGGGTTTTAGATCACGCCATTCTTCCAGGGAGCTGCATGTCCCAGGCCAGTGCCCTCCAGTTGCAGGTCATAGCTGGGACACTTAACAGTTGGGCTCAAGATCACTCCATCCTCCCGGGCAGCTGCACATCCTGGGGTCTGAGTCAGGACTCGTTCCAGGCCAAGTGGGTTCTAGGTCACTCCATGCTCCTGCTTGGCTGCATGCTGTTTTAGGTCAAGGCTTTCATTCTAGATCACAGCTGGGACACATTACAGTGGAATTTAGCTCCTTGCCACATGTTCTAGGTGAGGGAACTCTATGGTCCTGTGTCAGAACACACAGACCTTTGTAGCAGGGTTCTAGATGCCTGGAATCCAGAGGGGTTGACCATCACCCTGCTACATGCTGCAGTGGGTTCTAGGTCCAGTCTTGGTCATATGGTGCAGGATGTTCTAGATCCGTGGTCTAGTCCAGAGACTGGTGCTGGGTCCTAGATCTGTTAGCCCTTTTTACCCGGGTTGAGAGGGAACCTGGGGGATGCAGCTGTATAGCTATGAGGGCACCAGGGAGTGGGATTGGATCTGCCTGACCCATGCCGCTGCAGCACTAACTGCCCTCCCCCCCCCAGCACTTTGAGCGGGAGCTACGGCGCTTTGCCCGGCATAAGCGGGAGATGGTGCTCAACAGCCACGGGCTCTACAACATGCAGCAGGTATAGCTGCAGGACATCATGGGATGCTGGAGGAGGGCTCAGGTTCCCAGCATGGCTATAGGAGGGTGCCCTGGTACATGCTGGAAGGTTGGGGTAGGGCAGGGCTCTGAGGTGGTGCCTGGCTATGGGGATGACCCCATGCACTATGGGATGCTGCAGGGCTGTGTGAAGTGCCCCAGTGCACTGTGGGGTGTGGAGGGAGTGCCCCAGTGCACTGTGGAATGCTGAAGGGCTGTGAGGAGTGCCTTGTTGGAGTATGGGGAAGGATGGAAGGAGTGCCTCAGTGAACAGTGGGATGCCAAAATGTGACAACTATTTTACCTGGGTTCTGTGGTGATGCTTGGGTGTGAGGTTGGCCATGTGCATAGTAGGATGCTGGGGTGGGGGTCTGGCTCTGCCCCACCCCACCCCACCTTACCTTGTCTCCACAGGGCACCTTCCTACCAGCAAGCTCAGAGGAGGAGATCTTCCAGCACCTGGGCCTGGACTACATTCCCCCCACCCTCCGCAATGCCTGACCTCACCCCAGACAAATAAACCCCCTGACCATACCCCATCATGACCCACATCTGATGCTGATTTGAACTGGGCCTAGGTAGGGCTAACCTCTCTGCTAGGGCTGGAGGCAGTCTCAGGACCCTCCCCAGTGGGCAGAGCCTGTTGGGGCTGTCCCCTCTCACACCCTAGGGGGCAGAGCCTCTCAGAGCTAGGTGCACTCCCAGGCAGGGACTGATGCCCTTTATCCTGGTCTCCCTTGGGCACAGTGTCTGGGGCTTGATGCCAGGGTTTATGTCCAGCTTAGGGCCATGGAGCGTGGCTGCCCCATACTGCCCTGGTGTTTGCCTCACCAGTGGGTACCAAGCTCCAAGCAGGGGCAGGGGTGCATCAGTGCTAACCCATCCACAGTGCCAATGTCTCCGGTACACGCCAGTCATGGATCCCCCACCCTTGCCTGCTGACCTGGAGAGACACCTGGTTTCATCCCCCCCTCCCATGCTTGTCACTATAGACCTATCCACAGGGAACTAGGTTGCCCCCAGTCCCCACCACAGTCTTGGAGGGGTGCCCGTCGAGGTTGGCAAGGCCCAGGGGGCACAACCCCATTGCACCCCAACATCACACGCCCAGACAGATTGTAGAAAACGCTTTATCAGGTCCTTTTTTTTTTGTCTGTATAAAACACACGGGAGAAACCTAAGCCAATCAACACGCCAATTGCTGCCACGTGACAGGGACTGGGAGGGTGGGGGGGGTTCTGTCTGTCTAGAGGACATACAAAGGTTTAGCTCACGTCTACGGGCGCTCGTCTATGCTCTTCCGGTTACCTAGCTTGTTTAAAAAAAGATTCCACATGTCCCCAGATTTCATCCGGCCCAGGTCCATACAGTACAACGACAGAGAGGGCGAGGGCGGCGGCGGCAGTGCCCCCCCTACGCAGTCTTCTGCTGACCCTTCTTTCCGATCAGAGACTTGTGGATGTGTGGGATGACGCCTGCAGACACAGTGGGAGTAAGCAGGGGGCTGGGGGAAGCCATGGGGCCCTAGGGTGGCCTCGTGCTCCCCACCCCTCCCCTCGTGAGTCCAGCTGCATTGGAGGAGGAGAGCTATGGAGCTGATAGATACAGGAGATTGGTGCTGCCAAGCTTCCAGACCCACATGCTAACCAATCCTAGTGTGTAGGGGGCCAGGCCAGGCCCTAGGGTCCAATCCCTGTCTGGGAGACCAGGAGGGGGCAGCACTGGGGTCCAATCCTGACATATGGGAGCAGGAGGGGGTGGCACCACAGCTCCCTGGAGCCCAGTCCTAGTGCACAGGGGCAGGAGGGGGTGCCCTCAGGGAAAAATCCCTCTGTGGAAGGGTCAGGAAGCAGCACCACAGTCCCCACAGACCAATTGCCATGCACAAGGGTCAGCACTGGGACCCCATGAGATCGATCCTGTTGTACAGGGGAAGGAGGGCGTGGTGCTAGGGACCCTGGGGACCAATCCTTGTGTGGGTGGCTACAAGGTGGTGATACAAAGGGCCCAATCCCAGCACACAAGGCTGGGAAGGGGGTGGCAGGCCACAGCTGTAGATTCTGGCACATGGGGGATGTGAGGGGGGAATGCCATAGCCCCTGGGAACTAATCCTGGTGAGGGGGACTGAGAAGGGGGCAGCACTGGGCCTCTGGGGCCCAATCCCAGTGCTTGTGGGTGGGAGGAGTTGGCCCCAGGATCCAATTCTGGCACACAGGAGCAGGAAAGGATGGTACCAGGCCCCCTGGGGCCTGATCTGGCAGGCTTCAGGCTCAGCTGTGACAGGAGCTGCAGGCACAGCGGGTGCCCATCATCCCCCCATCCATAGGCCCCCTGACATGGGGGGGCGGGGGCAGAGGCAGGTGAGGGAGGGGGCATGGACTCACCTTGGCAGACAGGGGGCAGACGCCAAACTACACTGTACCTGGGCTTGGTGGCTCTCTGCCAAGGTTGAGCTGAAGCAGCACCAAGCCAAAGGGAACCCAAGATTGGCCCCGTCTAGCTGGCAGCACTCTGCCCCCCCAACCTTATGGGCTACCTACACATACCTCCACCGGCAATGGTGGCTTTGATGAGAGAATCCAACTCTTCGTCCCCACGGATGGCGAGCTGCAAGTGGCGAGGGGTGATGCGCTTGACTTTGAGGTCCTTGGACGCGTTGCCCGCCAACTCCAGCACCTGGCAAAGAGCGAGGGGGAGCCTGTTAGCAGCAAGCAAGTGGGGCAGGATATCTGGCCACCTGCTGCTGACCATAAGAGCTGCCAGAGACTGGCTCAAACTCTAGGGCAAGCTTGCCTTTTCTCCTATATCGTGTGGTGGCAGGGAGCTGAGCCTGGAAGGGAGGGGCACTGGAGATTTCCTCCACCCGAATTCCCCATGGGGCAACAGAACTGCTTCACACTGGCTTCAGATTGCCAGTGTCATGGTGCCCTTGTCCGGGGGAGACAGCAGCAATCGACACCTCCTGACTTAATCTTTGCCAGCTCGGACTTTGGAAACCCTGATCCTGGCTCCACTCAAGCCTGAACAGGCCTGGCTGTTCGTCTGTCCATCCCATTCTGTCTACCCATCTCACACTGTCCGTCTATCCATCCATCCACCCACCCACCTACCCTCCATATGTATAGCCATCCATCCATCTATGCACCCCACATATTATCTGTCTATCCATCTGTCCACCCCATGCTCCATCTATCCTTCTCTCTCATTAGCCTCTTTAGTCTCTCCATTTGGTGGTCCCTCCCTAACACTTACCATCCTTGTTGCCTCTCTCGACTTTCTCTACTTCTATCTCCTTTTGGTGATGTTGGTACCAGACCCAGACCAGGGCAGTCTTCGAGGTGTGGCTGCCCCAGGGATTTACAAAGGGGCATAAAGATACTTTGTTGTGTTCACAGCTCCATCATCCCCAACCTGTTGTTTGCCTTGGCAGCTGCTGAACTGATGTTCATAGCCACCTGTCCAGATCTCTTTGCTGGGTGGTAACAGCTAAGAGACCATTTTAGCTGGCCACCACACACAATCACCACCACAAGCCTACTCAGAAAAACCCACCCCGTGTCATCACCACACCAATACAATCTGAAAGGCCCCTGATCTGTTCCAAGGTCCCCATGCTAACTGGGCTCAGGACAGAGCGCTGAAACTAGAACAAGCTGCTTGAAAAAGCCAACAGAATAATATGGCTTCCAAGAGGTCTCCAAGCCCAAACAGTTGGGCCTAACCAGGGACTTTCTGAGTTAAAAGGGGAATTAGCCTAAAGGGCAGTGTTTGCTTGGGGTGGGAAAGGGGGTGGGGGGGAGGGAGGGAGGAAGAGGAAATGATACCCACAAATCTCCAATGTTTTACTGCATCCAGTTCTGGGTCACGTGCTTCAGGAAAGATGGGGGCAGGTTGGAAAGCCCAGAGCAGACCAATATCAATGGGGCAAGGCCTGGGAAGCAAACTTATAGGGTATATGCTGACAGAGAAAGTGTGATTTAGTCTAGAGAAGACTATGAGTGGGTTTGATCACAGGCTTCAAAGACCTGGAGAGCTTTTGTAGAAGATGAAGATGGGTTTTCTCTGCAGCTGTAGGGGACAGGACTAGGAGCAACAGCCTCAAGCTGCAGCAGGGGAAGTGGGGGGGGGAAAGGAGTGGGGGGATTATAAACTCCTGGAAGTTTCCAAGAGCAGATGCTTGATTGGGAGGGTTTAGCTTTGCTAAGAAAAGGAACAAGCCTCTGTAGTCACAGCCTGCCTGGCTTACAAATGGCTATGAATATATTCAAATATATTATTTCCAATTGGTTACTTAGCTGCACTCTGCCCTGGCTCCCAGCCGCTCTGAGCCAACGCATTGGCTGGTTTGACTGCTTCCAAATACACTGATGCAGCCCAAATGCTCCTTCCCCAGAGGGTGCTGTGATGGCAGGAGGGGCCGAGTTGTGCCCCATGGAACTGCCTAGCACCGGTAGCCTGCCCCGCACTCTTCAGAACCTACCTCAGCGGTGAGATACTCGAGGATAGCAGCGCTGTACACAGCAGCCGTGGCACCCACTCGCCCGTGGCTTGTGGTACGGGTCTTCAAGTGTCTGTGGATCCGGCCCACTGGGAACTGAAGCAGACAACTCGTTAGGCACTGGAGAGCAAAGCCAAAGGCGTGGTGCTAACAGTTGTTAACCGGGGGGAAGAGGAGGAGGACCGATGCCAAAGCAATAAAGATTTCCCGCAGCAGAATGCTGCATGCAAATGCATGCAGATAAAAGGTGCATGCTTCAGTTCAGTGAAGCCACAGGCTCTTACACTTATGAGGTTTATTCAATGGGTCTGTGGAACAGACGCCTAGAAGAGCTGTGAACTCTCCATCATTGGAAGTGTTCAAGGAGAGACTGAACAGTCACAGGTTGGGGTGAACTAGGCATAGCTAGGTCTATGCACAGGGGAGCTGTGGACTCTCCATCACTGGTGGCGGTCAAGGAAAGGTTGGGCAGCCACTGGGTGTTCTAGGTGTAGTGATGCCCGTGTTCTACTATGGGGCTTTCCCACACTTTGCTGGTCACTGTATGGAGGTGGGAGGGAATTAAACCACCCCCCCACAATCTGCTACATGTCCGAAGGCCTCCCTCAGAGGCATTGGGTGCTGGCTGTAGCCCAGGCTGGGGACTGTGACTGGACTATGCCAATGCTCCTGCTGGGACTCGACCCTGGAGGGTCCTGGACAGACACTGCATTAGGGTCAGGAAGGAATTTCCCTACCCACCCCCGTGCTCAGAACAGTACAGACTCAGGCAGGGAACTGGCCTAGCTGTAACCTCTCCATGATTCTGGGACAAACTAAACTTGCCCCCAGCATGCAACAGCTGAGGGTTTGGCTTTCACTCTAGCTCCACCTGATGCAGCTTGCTAATTCCTGGGTGCTACACCAGAGGCATCATGGGAAAAGTGTGATTTCTAAGCTATCCAATCACCCCACTACCACAGTTTAATTACACAGCGATACCCAACAAGCCATTTTCAAGGAGTGGTGTAATTTTTAACTCATGTGGGATGGTCAGAGGAGCAGGAAGGAAAGCAGGATGAAGTGAGTCATGGGAAAACTTTGGCACCTGCTTTTACAGCTGGAAAGTGAGGTTTCAGCATAGAATTAGGAGAACTGGCACCTTGGAAGATGAGGCATTTAGGAGGAGGAAAGTGGAAGCTGATGGATGCTAGCAACCACTGGGTGTCACATTACCTGCAGTCCAGCTCGTTGTGAGCGAGACACCGCCTTTGCCTTGGCCTTCCCGCTGTCTTTTCCAGCCTTGCCGCCAGCCTGCCCAAGACAGAAGAGCAAGAATTAAGATGCTAAACTCCACATATGACCATGCAGGGAGGGGGAAATGTCATGGCGATTCCCCTTGCTGGCACCGTTACATCTGAGTGCCAAAAGGGCCTAGCCTCATTTCTTCACGCCTGGAACCCATATACCTACAACACACAAAATGTGGGAGAAATCCATCAAAGTAAGTCCACCATTGGCATGCAGTAGTCATGGAAGGAATGCTTCTAGAGAGGACTCACTGATGATTCTATATGTATTCAGAGCTCTCTATGCTGCAATGTGGGAGTGCAAGGACAGGACAGTTTCCAAGCATGGATGTAAGAAGCCACGACCCAAACTGCCCCCTCCTCCTTGAGGTGACCTCCAAGCCAGGCACAATTGGGCAGGATGTAGGTACAGCAGCTGCTCTAGCTTTGCACAGGCTAATGTCTTTCACAGCCCCCTGAAATACTGTAGATGAGTTCCACTTGCTTCTTTGCCAAAGACCTCTTCCCTGAACTGGCTAATGCATCTGAAGGCCCCAATCCCTGCCTGATTTTCTACCCCCTTTGGACTGCAGCCATCATTTATGCTCCCCAAACCTCATGCCAAAGGGAAGTGAGCAAAGATAAAGTGCCAAAGGCTTAGACATAGCCCTGCTCCTTCCAGTCCATGGTGGAGACACACCTTGTACATTGATTCTGTATGTCAAGCTGGCAATGCGGTGAGGAGATACTTCTGAGACAGCCAGGCTCTGACCCTTCATCTAATCCCAGCCTCTGCCAAACTGCAAGAGATTACCTCCTTGCTCTGATCTGTGCGCTGGCAACTGTTATTCCCCCCTGGGCTCGTCCAGTGCTTAGCATTATCACAAACGAACCCCTGAAACTAACTTTTCAGCCTAAGTCACCAATGTTTTGCCGCTTTTGCCTTTGCAGGGAGTGGGAGAGCTTTCAGGCCCATGTGTTCTTTGAGGGTACTGGGATATTTTGTATTGCCAGCAGCCACCTGCTGGTGCCATGGTTTTGCAAGAGGTGGGTTTGGGCAATCAGCTACTTGCACAGCTACAGTAGAGACTGCATTAGCTCTCACTGCCCTGACTGAGAAATCTTAGAGAAGCATAGAACAGTAAGCAGGGAGTCTTTTAGACTGGTTTCTTAGGGGCTGGCAGGGGACAGAGAACACTGAACAGCGCAAAGCCAATGGAGAAATCCCTGCCAAAGCATCAGGGTTTACACAGGCATTATCGTAACTTTCTTACCCAGCAACTTCTGGGTCCTTTCCCTGGGATCACTATCATCTCCCCTCCCTGCTCCTCACCATTTGGCCTTGAGGCTGCTACCGACCAGGCCTGAGATACCAAGTCAGTATAGCCTTCTGCAAACAGAGTTGAAACACAAAATTGCCATAGGGGCAGCTAATAATCGACTGCAGTTTCCAATTAGGAAACTCGACATTCACAGGCTTAAATAGCCAAGGGCCCAGGCTTAAAGCATTCAGAAACAATCGCTTTGCAGAACTAGCCCCAGATCTTCCCTGCTGCCACCGTACTCCCTTGCATCCCAGAAGGATAGAAGCTCAGTTCAAGAGAATATTCTCTGAAGTAATTGCACCAACCCCGGAAGGTTGGAGATCCCAGCAGGTCACACTTCACAACAAGACCTGTTTGGGCTACTTCCAAGAGAGAAACCGTGGCTGGCTTCTTCCACCAGACACCTTAGGGAGAAGAGAGCCTCTTTGAGGAAGAGAGTGACCTATGGAAAAGACCACGTATCCATCCAGGCTTCACTGAAAGCCAAACTGACAGGTGGCCTCTTGAAGAAGGATGCTAGAAGCGGATCTGGAACAAGTCTCCTGCCAATCTCCAGTGTCTCTTCAGAAGGGGAAAGAAACCCCCAAAGCAAAAAGAGAGATTCTACCAAGGAAAGAG